CCAACGAGGAATTGACACGTGAATGAGCGACAGATAAAATGGACGATTTTTCCACGACCTACCTCCATTTCCAAGTCTTAGACGACAATGTCTAAAGGGTCCGAGACTAAAACATGTCAAACAATGAAAACATTGGCTGCATCCTGAGAAATAATCCCCTCTTGCTAATCCCCACAAAGTCACATTAAACACAAATCTTTCCTAATCCCCACCACAAGCCGGCCAGCATGTCCAATTAAACAATTACATTCATTCCACTGTCGCTAAACATATCTTTCTCACACTAGCATTGTTTTTCACACCTTGCATTTCAAAGCCTGATCTCATAACACAAAAAAGCTAGCTGACAATTGTTTTATTTCAATAACAAGCACCTGTTAATTCAAGCAGAACGGCCAGGTTCAATCAGAGGCTGGTGAGTTGGTGACAAACCTCCATTATCTATTGTCCTAAAGGCACCTGCCACAGGGGACCTGTGAAATCATGGCAGGGCTCTATACAGTTAGAAGTAATTTAGGGTTTGTGACACAACTCTATCAGATCTACTGTGTTATCAAGCCAGGAAACGACATGGAAATCTACTCTGCCTTTCACGCTCAATTGATTAGAACAGTCAAGTGATTGTACTCCGACCGCACACATTTCTCTTGAGGAATTATACGAAATAATCATATACTTTACAGAATACAATTACTTGGTCACAGTTGTTGGAATATTGACCTGTAATCAAAGTCCATGACACTGTGGTTGACATATATCCTGTTACTACCGTTTTCATAAACAAAGAATTAAAACTTAGACCATTTGGATGATTGACAGATCATACATTGACATTTGCCTCATGTTCGATAGAAACAAATCCTACTAGATGTTTAGAGTCAGTCCATAACACCTACATGTAACCCATAATATAAGTATCAGAATGATCACATCACACAATGCCAGTCATGTCTCAAAGAATTTTTCTTATGACTTTTTTTCCAAGACTAGTTTTCCTATGGTTTTTTTCACCGTCTCAAATACTTTACAGCGGGGAGCCTGACTTAAGAACATTTTATTTAACTGATTCCAAATCAAAATATTCTGACCTTTAACTAAACATATATTTTATTAATCCACGAAGCAGCTAATCATTACTAACCAAAGTGCACAGACACAATGTCTTATCGCACACTAAACAGGGGCAGTGGGGTAGCCTAGTGGTTAAAACGGTCGCCCGTAAGTCTCGGGTTCGATTTCCCACATATGTACAATGTGTGAAGCCCATTTCTGGTCTCCCCTGCCGTGATATTGCTGGAATATTGCTACAAGCGGCGTAAAACCAAACTCACTCACTTACACTAACCAGGTACACCATCTATACAGAAAATTGTCTCTACGTATACAAGGTTGAGAATGTCTAGGTAACCTTTCAATAAGGATTACATACATTAGTTTTTTACAGTATATTTTATAAATTTATGAACAAAATAGAGAGCCAATCTTTAGGTTCTGACCGACTGACTGACTGCAGACACTTTTAATTTTTAAAATTCAAACATCAGTCTTCACAAGTCCCAGATTTCTAAATTGTGCTGAAAAAAAACTGAAAATCAACTGACAGTAGTCCTCACTCGAAGAAATATTCCAATTATGTTCCAATTTGGATCTGGAAAAAAAACTGATCTCTATAAGCATTAGTGATATTAGATAAGTGTTTTCCAGTCTTGCAAAAAAATTTATCAAGTGTTCTGATTGGCGATTTTAGTATTTTCATATAATCATTTAGAAAATTAACCTTGTGAAACGTGTCATACACAGATCTGTAAGTACAATGCCCTAAGTGCAGTTAACTACATATCCCATGGTTGAACATCCACCCCCCCCCCAAAAACAGTCACGAAATGTACAACAGTACAAACAACAGAAGCAGAGGTGTTAATAACAAAGATGTTATGATAACAATCTTTACCTTACATAGGTTACATAACAAATCGGGAATTACATGTACTTCCTTGAGGGTTCAAAATATGTACACTGATTCACAAGCAGTTTTCCATACATAGTAGGGCCATCAGATTGTACCGTAGTTAACTGGTCATACTAACAATCTTACTTGCATATGAGACATGGATAATTTTAGGGGTCCAGACAATCTCCAATACACACATCAAGGTGTTTTTTTTTTTTTTACCATTTAGACAATGGCGGATGTGGGGTAAAACCATGCTTAGCCGTCCTTAACCACCTCAGCATATATACTATACTTCACGGCAATGACGATTTATCTCCTTTAGACAATGAAAACCTTATAAAATCGGTTCAGAATTACATAACTGAAACTAACCGCTCTACGGAATTCAAGTAACAACCTATAAACATAAAATGCACTTGGTATCTTGTTCTATATTTTCTTTTCTTTATTTTTATTTTGTTTTGATTCATTGATTAATGTCCTAATATCTGCTCCATAGAATTATGTCAAGATAATAACGAACTATATGCGGAGAAGCATTGACATAGGCCATATGGCCTGTTTGCTAATCCTATTTCCATTTTGTTATGTCGTGTATTATGAAAAATGTAAACATTAATGGAAATTAAAAAAATACTGTTTAAATCATAAAACCATGCTTTTTGCACTTAATGTGATTTGGTGTTTTCATAGCACAGTATTAAAGGAGTATTTCAATTAAGGGCTTATGAGTCTTATACTTTCTGATCGGTGTGGGACATAACATCAGGTTGTGTTGGGAGGCAAATTAGTGCTCAGATGGGCTGAATAAATATTTGACTGATAAACAATCTTCATTATTCATTTGGAGTTTTGGGTTTTTTTTGAGCTACGTGGTGGGGGGTTTTGTCCTACGGGTTTTTGTCCCTGGGGGTTTTGTCTGCACACCTTATACTTAGTGCAGGATTTGGTAATGAATACACACACTGAAGATTAAAAAAAGTTTTCACAAGATTCTTCTACATTCTGTACCCTTGAAAGATGGAACTGGGATGATAAAAATGTTTTCACTTTGTAAACTGGAAATGAAAAAATACATGAAGTATCACATTAGTGACGGAAGATAAAGAAAATTACTGGGTCACATTCAACACATTTTGGTGACCCTTCAAATGTGTACTGACCATAAAATGTATTCATATTTATTGTCATTCTGCTACCTTTTCATACAAGAGGTGGGGCCATGTGACATGGTGAGCGAGGGTTCATCTTTATAGGCAAAACTGTTCAACAAATAGTGTCATGAACAACTTACTGATCCATTTCAAATACAATGAAATAAGTACACTTTATTTGCCATGCAGTGCAACTCTCCGAACATCATAATCGTAGAATCACAGCCTTCAAACACATATTTAATCAATATTAGAGATTATGGAATACAGATTCCGCAAGTGCTTAACAGGTTCAGTACTTATTCAGTTCAAACCATCCCAATTTCTTCAAGATGTTCCATCACATGTGAACAGTTCAAACGTCAGCATTACTTCTATCACCAGGTGAAGGCCATAGTTCATGATTACAGTGGGTGAGAATTCTTTTACGCCACTTTTAGCAATATTCCATTAATCTTAGGGCAGGAGACACTAGAATGGGTTCCATACATTGTACCCATGTGGGGAATCGAACCCGGGTCTTCGGCGTGACAAGCGAACGCTTTAACCACTAGGTTACCCCACCGCCCCTTCCCCATTACAAACTGTGCACTTCAGTTTATAAAAGGAAAGAAGCTAAGGAAAATTATCTCATTAATATATCACACACTGTAAAATGTAAACATGGGAGATAAGACCCTCAACACAAAGTAAACAATGTCCGTCTCTACAGCCCACAAGAAACACAAGTCGGCATATTTCAAACACGCAAAAAATAATTACAACATGCATTTATCGTTTATATACCAAAACAGAGATAAGCATGCGATGGTCATGTTTATAACTCGCATATTGAGTGCATCAGGCTCGACTAGTGTAATTGACATCACAACACTTTGAATAGTAATTACCACAGGTGATCCGAATGGCCTGACAATTAACGACTTCAATTGGATGTAAATCAGAATTATCAAATGTATCTCACCCCAGATAACAGGGGATGTCTCATGTCCTACCAGGCAGTGCAAACATATCTGATTAACGTTCACATGAAACAATAACAACTAGGACTTGAATTTTCAAACTGAAATTTGAAAAGAAATAAGCTGGAATTTCATGGTGTCAGAAAACAGGTGTAGAGCAGACCCCTTCCCTGGATTTGCCAATGTTAGCTGCTAATAATAAACATTCACATGACCCAGCTTTTTAAAATATAAATAAGAAACATGTGTGTTCTATCTTCTCATATGAAAAACACACAATGTTCTTCAATCTATAAAAGTGGACCTCGCGTTTTACGGTTTACTGGCTTTGTGTAGCGCCTCTCCGAACAAACTCGTACTAATGCACTGGGTATTCATGGCCGCAATTCACCGTTCAGTAAAATATAAGCCATTTTGTAGGAGAAAAGAATACAAAAATACATTGGGCCGCCGCACACTGCAAAAATAATTTCATAATGGTGTTATATTGTGGCGAAGGCAATAAATTTTGGGGGACACGAAGTACCCGATCACTCACAGATCCCACCATGGGGATCCGCACCTGACGTTTGAGCGGAAACCGAAACTCTCACTAATTTCTCAGAGTAATTGCTTTTCAACAATTCAAATAAACAACGACACGACACTGGAACGTTGAACTACGCCAAAGACTGATTTGGGATTAAGTGGAGTGAATTTGCCTGCCGAGATTGAATGAAAGTCGTGTGAATCAAGGTAGCTCAAATCCCCTTACCTGCGGCCCCCATTAAACAAACACTCTCCCTCCCCTTGTTGGACATGCATGGAAATAATGCATGAATTACAGAGCTTCTCCTTCAAATTCAACATGGCATGATTTTCAAAGCATATAAACAAACTGCAAGAAAACATATTTTCAAATTTAGGAGTAAATAAGAGTCATATACTTACAATATCCTCAACATATTCCTCACCAAACAACACAAAGTGCCTCCATGTTTTCAAATATGGCCATTCCGTTTCCCGCCTTCGGATAATCTGTGCTGAATTATTTGTGGAGATCTTTTACACTTGCTTACGCTATCTTTACCCAGATTATACTCCAGTTACTTTGATTAATGAAAGATGGAAACTGATTCCGTAAAGAATAATTATTTCATGAAAAAACACACAGTACGAAGTGCTTTTGGTCCATGCAGACTAATACAGAGGGAGGACAAGAGAATAGCCACCGGAAGTTGCTGCGACCATTAAAACAAGTTGAATTGTTACATTTCACGTTTTTGTTTAAGCGAAAATGGAAGTATGCGAAATGAAATAAATGTTGGTTTTGTTTAGCATAATAACTTGATTCTTATATTAGATAGAAAACATGAACAATTCAGTCACATGATCACGTCACATGACTACTCGATCGAGACGTGAGTGACCTTGGCGGGAAGTGACACGAGCTGGTGAGTAGAATAGTGTTGCAGTAGGGTGCACGTCCTGGCATTGTTTATTATATTTCCATATAATATCCCTGTCAGCAATCCTATTTAGTGCAGTTGTCAGGGTATACTCAGAATTAGGACAGATTCAGATGGAAAGTGACACGTATATGAAGATGTCATGTATTGGCCTTGTTTCTAGACAGAATACAGATAAACAATGATTAAAAAAGGCCTCAGATCGTTGAGAGCACCAGGTTTTATCTTCAAGTCACCTTCATGTGTCAGACCAATTTAAGATTCAGCTAGTGTGTTCGTAGTTAAAACAGTGTAGGATTTAATATATGTATTAGATTAGTGCAAATATCTACATGAATTTTATGTATCTTAAAGGTCACATGCAACAAAAAAATCAAAAATAATTAAAACACAATTATCACTTATTCATGACATATAATATACATTGCTTATTATGAAAAAACATATAAACAAAATTATAAGTGCACTATCGCAAATCAAAAGTGCAATATTTTGTACTTGTGTTTACTTCCGACAAAACGACAAGCACCCGAGATACCGAACCCAGTCAGAGCGGGTGGGTGTGCACTCAAGTGTAACGGCTGGTTCATTTGCCGATGCCCTCACGGGTCATTGTGTGTGTGTATATGCTCATACACGCTGATTTTTTGTGTATAACATTTTGCAACCAACAGTCATAACATGTCATGTGTACAAGTATCACACCTGCCTGTCTGTGTAATTACATAATGTGACAGAGACCGAACTCGGGCCATAAATCAATGCGTTTTGTTTATGGTGTATAGCCTGATAGGTGTTAAGTTCAAATTGCATGTGGTCAGTGATCTCAGTTGTGTATTGAATATTGTCATTAGCAGACAGGCAGGCAGACACATAGGTGTCAATAAAACAGACACTGAGTTTTGTCTGTGACAACAACATATCTATATCAAAGTTAGAAATTCTGTCAATGCTAAATAACGACATTGGTTTTAAGTATCGAACTGAGAAAGTGACTCGGTAAGAAGAACGTGTGGTGAAATGGACAAATGAAATAATATAAACAGTTGAATCGGTAATCTACTGTCATAACATATAAAAAGCTCGCACCTGTGAAATATCAACAAAACATTTGAAAAATAGCTCACATCAAAGCCTTCACCGAGTATTCACCACCAGCGAAGGTTTTCCGTCTTGAAATGTCGAACGCCTCACTGATTTACACATAGCTGAGTAGATCTAGATCCTAACAAGATTCTTTTATGTAATGAGTAGATTATTTACTATTTGTTTTGATTAGACTACTCCTGCTCACGACCTTATAACCGGACATCCCGCTTCCAAGCTACCCGAATCCATTTCACTGCGCATGTGCTATGAGCGCAACCAGTGCAGCACAGCTGTTGAAACCACTTTTCACCCCAAGCGCTGGGGTGAATTTAGTGAATCGTTTGAACTCCGATTTCGCGGGGGGGGTTTCATCGCGTTATTTTTCAACTTTATAAGTTGAATTTGAATTTTTGATGATTTGTATCTGTAAGTCAATACCGAAAGGTATCAGAATCTGCAAAGTTGTGTTTTAAGTTGCATGTGACCTTTTAAAACAAAAGAAGTGTCAAATTGTATATGTTCAGATGTAATGACAAACAATGTTATAAAAACTTTCTTTTTTATACATGCAAAATGTTCAGAGACTTTTTTGCCATGAATAATTTTTAAAAGATAAATAATAGTATTCATTTACTAATAATTTCGACCAGCGAAAGTCCTTTAGAGAAAGCAGACTTAGGGACCGTTCGTGTGTCACCCATCTTGATCTGGGGAGGTAGAGGGGTGGGGAGGTCATCATTTTTGTACATAAAATATTAAAAGCTACGCTTAAAAAATATTGAGAGGGGGAAGGGAATTGATTTTGCACATGACATGTGGGGGTTGGAGGTGGTTAGTCTGCACATGAATTTTAGGTGTGTGTGTGTCATTCACATTCTACATGCTTCTCCATAAAATATCATCATCACTCCGCCTAGCCATAAATTATGAACGATACCTTAGAAACTATTCGTTTTTCTGGTTCTTTGCAATAACTGTAAGGAAATATAAGGAAGATACTACTGGTTGTAAGTCTTGGAATGGCATTCAGATGTGACAGACATAAAGGAGGATAATGATGGACATGTATTATGAGGGACATGACATGTCAGAACACATGGCAAGTTGTACACTCCCAAACCTTTTGTCCCTCATATTAAAGACATTGACATCCATAAATATTCAATATTTACCAGGGTTTTACATAGCTCTTCAAAACTGGGAGTCCTGGGGACTCAGGGCTTATTTCTTTGAGAGTCCATTTCGAAAATTGGGAGTCCATCAATTTGCATGAAATCAATGATCATGGATGCTTCCCATTTGATAAGGAATATGTTATAGTATGTGTTACTTTCAATGTCATTAGAATAATGATTGTAAATAAAATGTTTATATTTTAATATGGGATGTCATTACAAAGTCATAAAGTTCTTTCCCAGAAGAATATTATATTGGGTCCACATGGACGCACATGATTTTAGTTTGGGGGTACATCATCAAATTTCTGCGTCCAATATGCAAGAATCACGCGTCCCGTAAAACCATGACTTATAACTGGTTATAATCAATATTATTACAAGATGCCATAAGAAATGGATTAAGTCGGACGATAAACAGACAGGTTTCAAGGATGAAGGGTATGTGTTATGGAGAAGTAGAGTTTGGGGGCCGAGGGTATTATGGTAATGGACACAATGGAGAGAGTTTATTAATATGTCCTGTATAAAACTCAGCATTTTGGTTAAATTAATATACAGGATACAGGGCATAGAATTAGAAATAGCTGTAGAAGTAAATAATCATGCATAAAACGTAAGCACATGTATAATCTGTTTGATTGGCATTTAGAAGTTGGTGACTAATAAGAAAGTAAGATTGTTTATGGATAACAACTTCTTTTAAGGAGGTATCCGACTGGCTTGATATATTGTCTGAAGGAAAAATTAACTTGTCGCACGAAAATGTTATTTTTGGTTTCAAAGGTAAAACCAACAACCCACTTAATACGGTGTTTTTGATAGTGAAATATATGCTATATAAGACAAGCCGAAATAATATAAAGCCAGATTTTAAAGTGCTTCAAAGGGAAATACTCAACTACTATAAAGCTACCAAATATACAGCATCAATAGAAGGAAGCCAATTGAGCACTCCAGCTATCATTGCTAATTAATCATATCAGCCATGTATATTTTGTTTCTGCCTCTAGGACCATTGGCTTCCTCCTATTGTCATACATTATTACCACCGTGCCTTGTTGTTGTTGTTAATCCCCTTGATTCATACCTACATGTTGTTATTACTTAATCCCTGTTGATGTATATAAGTCTGTTCTGTGCTGTAGTACTTCACTCTTGCTTGACAACGGTATAAGAATCCATACCATCATATATGATAAAAGAAGTTGTTATCCATGTACAATCTTACTTTCTTAACACATGTAGAAGTAATTGGTCAGCTACAATTTGGTGTGCCTGAAGAGTAACAGAATTAAGGAACATGTGGAGATTAATTGGTGATACCTTTTCTTGTACAAATTCAAGTTATATTGGTGTTGAAAGTTTTGAAATGTTTGCATTTTGTGGTAAAATTCTGGATTGATTTCAGATTTTTCAGATTTTTAGAAGTAGTCAAATATCCGTTTCCATTCATAATGGTTTCCAGGTTTAGCAATGGGAATAGAAATACATGTTACTTGTTATCTGTGTAAAGTGTTTTCGGTGCGATATCTACAGGATCAGTTTGGTCGGTCCGATATGTGTCTATAAAACATGTCAACGGTAAGGTCACTACAACGGAGGCTAAGCTAGGTGACAGCATATGACTTGACAAAAACAAGATTTGAAATTTAAGTCACATTGTATTTTGTTGTACAATACACAAATAAATACACTAAATTACAGTACAATATGCATGTATGCAGAATACGATTAATTGTAATTCAATAAACGCACAATAAGAATCTGCCATCGTATGCATGTGCAATGAACAATGCATGGGTGTGTATGATCTAATCTAGTCCATCCAGAGTTATGTCCCCTGAAGAGTATTCCATGACATGCTGTTGGTGGGCTCGTGGGCACTGCTGTAAATGCATGTATAACTGTCACACTGTGGCGCAGTGATGACTTAACATAACATCACTGCCACAGGCTAATTTGCATATCACGTGACAGGACTTTTCTCTTGTTTGTAAACAAACGCGCATATTCATAATAAGAAGAGACTGGTCTTAAGCAAGCTTTTCGACGCGCTCTTTACAATGTTTTTCATTGTTACATATATATTCTTCCATAACTGCGACAGTAACATTTATGACAGTACATATGTAGATATCAAACTGGTTGCATCGTTTGCTCTCTGTCGGCTTCGATGACAGCATGTGGAGCCGTACAACGTATGTAAACAAAGGATCGCTACGCAAATCGAAATAGTGTTACATGTTTTAGGATATTTTCTCAGTGAAACTAAACCATTATATCAAAGATGTTTAGTTAGATGTTTAGGCTCGTCAAAAATAAAAGAGTTAAGAAATATGTACATTATATTGAATGGACGGTGCAAGATGTGACGAATCGTCACATTTTTCTGGCCTGTGGCAGAGGTACTATGCTGGCTGGCCGCATGGAACTCTGGGTAGGAGATTGGTATAACTGTGAGATAATATGC